TCAAATCGAACCAAATTAAAAAAGGGTCTTATGGAGAAGAGTACTCACTTTCAGAGAGAAAGTATTTAGCATATGAACAGTGTAAGCATAGAAATCAACACTGCTTGGCGACTGCCAGTTTCACGACTTTACCGATTATCAACGGTCATATGGAGTGAACGCAAACACCTCTATCAGATTTTAAACTCGGGATGCCGATTCAATTTTATCTTTACAAGACAGAAACATTCAGCTGACTCCGTAAGCAACAATTTTGTTTATAACGTTGAACAATATATTTTTATAAATGTGTATATCTGAATCGATACACTCACACGTATATATTTATATATGTATGATTCGTATAGAAAAATATAAAGAGATGTGCTTATGAATTCGTTTAGCGTGGTAGACTTTGCATCCCATCAAGTCGAGGTGTGTACGCTATGTAAGTAAATGAAGGTATACATTCTCAGGTCATCTTAGTTCAATCCATTTTTCTGGCGACAGTTCCTGGCTTGTCTACATGATTCTTTGATTGTTTGAACTTCTGTGAGTGCTTCTCGATGTCTTGCAAGCTGCACCTGGCGTCTTCACACAGAGCATGTCTGAAGTGGCAACCACATCTCCGAACAAAAATCGAGAAGCAGACTATATTCACCCCCCCCCCCCTCTCTCTCTCTCTCTCTCTCTAACCCACTCTTTCTTTCTCACACGAACAGACACAGACGTACATAGATAGATAGATAGATAGATAGATAGATAGATAGATAGATAGATAGATTTTTAATCATTTCACCCCAACAAAGGCAACTAACCCGCTACGACACAGGAGGTTACTGAGTGTGAAAGAATATACAAAAAAGAAAAACATTATTAAGAAACAAAAACAATTAAAAAAAAAACCCAGAATTTAAGAAGCGATGAGATAACGATTGACATTGCATTTAAATTTCAGAAGCTCAATGTTGACAGGGAAGCAAGAAGTCGGAAGAGACTTCCACAAGGGAGAAATGAGAGAGAAGAACCTGTTGGCATAGAACATTTCGCCATTTTAACTGTGAAACGATGCCAAGTCAGGACCAATGTCATTGCAGATTCTTCTTTTGGATTCCATCAAAGACCTCTAAATATATAACAGGAGCACCAGGTCATATGTTGCAGTTATACTTTAAGCAATGTTTAACTTATAAATATATAGGATAGTTTCTGGCGAGAAAAATTGTCTAGCACGAGACAGTAAACCAATTTTCCTAGTAGTAGACTTAGCAATTGATTCACAGTCATCACCGCCAGCGTCACTAGGGGAGAGAAAGGGAATAGGGAGAAAGAATTGCGAGCAGGTGCTATCGATGATGATAAAAAATATTATTTTCAATATAAAACATGAGCATTTTGCTAGCAAGATTCACTGCTCATAAGAAGAAACAAATACAATATGGAGTCGGTGTTGAGTACTCTATTCATCTCTGACTGATGTCATTGAATTCTATAAAGCAGTTTACATTTTTTGTCTTGGATGGTATCAATTCTAGACTGTTTTTGCTCACTGAGATCTTTCCCTATGTGAAATGATTTCTTACTGTCATTCTTCTTTAGATGTTCTTCAATCTATGGACATTGTTGTTTGATACGTACTTCTTTTTTTATCTGTACTTTCCAGCCCTTGTGCTGTGCCTCATACTTTTCACCTCTCAACGTGCGTCATACAATTAAAATATTTCTTCGGCACCAATGGTTCTTCATTGAGCGTTACATAACATTAATGGCTTTAGAAGCTTCACACATAACTGAATTAAGATAGTCGTCAGCACTTCAGCATCTTCCCCTAGCCTAAGTAAGGGGGGCAAATATTTCGCCGACATTTGGTTGAACCGACTTGCCAATGTTGGGTTACTTCAGATGGTCAACGTTGCAATTGATCCTGGTTTTCTTTAGTTTAATAATTTCTTTCTACCCTACTCGTAATTTCATGAACACAGATAACGCCCACTCTTTATCTCGCTAGCGGGGAATCCTTTCTTGGTGCCCGAACGGAAATGTTTCTGGACTAGAATGTAGTCAATATTAGTAGGTACGGTTGTTATACTTCTCTTATTGCTGACACAATATACAAGGTGGGTCAAAATGCTCTCCCCAATCTTACCTTAACTCTTGGCATCGCAATCCGTTTTAACAATTGTGATCTCTTTCTTACATACTCAGTTAAATACACCCGAGATTTGCGTGTAAAATGTCTCTATTTTTCATCCTTATAGTCATTAGTTGAGTTTTTACTGATTGATCTGCTTTTTACGGTTATCAACATTTTGCAGGTTATTAAAGTCAGGAAATATTTATAGATTGTAAGAAATTTCTGTAGATAATAAAGATTTATTGATACAAGAGAGAGGTGGATTCATGCCTTTCCCAAAGATATTTGCGCGTAAGTAAATATAACGAACCCGACTGAAATTCGAACTCAGTTCGCAGATTTTCCAATTCCGTGCCGTTATCAATTGCATAATCGACACATCCAAGTTTACAACATTTGGTATTCCCAAGCGGACACCCATCTAGATACTGACTATGCTCGACGTCGCTTAACTTCTTTGATCGTTCGAGAATCGGTGTTTCAACTTGATATGGCAGTAATTCTTCTCCAGTTGAATAATGGTAATCTTACCTCATTGCTGAATAAATAGCCTCACGGTCGGTGAGAGTTAACGCCTGCGCCATTATGATTCGTCGCTGAGTTATATCAAACAGTGCAACAGCTTCTAGAGATGATTAAAATGACTAGACATTTTCTGGGCAGACTTTTGACTTGTCTGTAAATTTTTCCTAACGGCTTTAATCTGAGCTTCTCATTTCTTTTGTCGCTTACACAGAAATTTACCTTAATGTCACCTACGTTAGGGATTTTCATATCTATACTAGATAATTAGAAGTGGGAATCGCTCCAAGAAAATAGAATTAATGTTTGGGTTGGACATCAATCATTAAATTTAGTCAGGAAAGGACAACGTTGATTTGCCAGTCGGATATAGAAGACAAACAACAGATTAAGTAAAGAGATAGACAGATAAATATATATAAACAGAAATGGACACTATATATATATATATATATATATATATATTGATTTAAAGAAAATGAATTTCTTTTGTATGACCATTTTTTTTTTTTTTGCAGGACCTAGGTACCTTTCGGCCAACGCTTCATCAGGGTCTTTCGTTGGCAAATGATTTTAAACAAACAATGAAAATGAAAAGAACGCCAAAATGGTATGGTTGGAACACGTCTAAAATTTTACGAAGATATATATACGTAAAATTAAAATAAATTTACGATTAAAATAAATGCGTAAATAATGAATTAATAATAATGAACCAACCTGAGCAGTAAAAAAGGAAAATAAGTTGCTCATATATCAAAAAATAAATTTAGCGATCGTGAAAAATTCTCCTTTTGTTTAGAAAGCGATGGTTTAAATAATTTGAGGCAGATGGCTTCCAAAATAGACAGATGATATTTGGACCTGCCTACGCATATAATTGAAAACGAGTCCATTGTGAAACGTTTTGAGCATGACTCATTTTCTAATAGGTGTTGCCCGATCGCCGAATCGTGAGCTGATTGCGAAACACGAATGCGATTATCTAAATTTAATTTAATGTGTCTGGGTACATGTTGTCCGATTCTTGTTTCCAAACGAAGACATGTTCGCCCTATGTATTCAGCTTCGCACTGACATTTAAATTTATATATAATCGAACTTTTATTATGATAGGGCAAACGATCCTTGGAAAAAGACGGAAAAACAGTACGAGTACCAAAGACAACACGTACCTTGGCCGAAAAGAAGGTAGCAGAAACAACATTTGAAACTTTATCAGTCAAAAGTTTACATTTTCTGCCCAGCCAAGGTAATTTCAGATAAATAGGGCAAAGACCTGGGCCAAATTTTGGGGGCATATTGAAATTCTCTATTTTCCGCTTTATTGTGCGGTCAACAATGTTGGCTGGAAAACCATTGTTGATGAGAATGTCTCGAATTTTGTTCAACTCTTGTTGAAGTGTGCTAGAGGAACAAATTAATAAAGCCCTATGAACTAAGGTCTTAACCAGATTTATTTTTCTGGTATGGGGGACAAATGAGTTCCAATTAGTGTAAAGACCTGAAAAGGTTTCTTTACGAAACACACTAGTGATGAAAATATTATTCTTTCGTTCCACATGAACATCTAAAAAGGATATAGAATTATTCATTTCTTCGTCTATAGTGAAGACCAAAGACGGGTGCAAGGAATTTAACGCTTCACAAAAGAGAGTGGCTTCCTCTATGTTATTAAATAGAGAAAAAGTATCATCAACATAACGTTGATAGATGTAAGGTTTTTGATATTTCTCAAATAAAATGCTCTCATGATATCCAACAAAGATGTTGGCTAAAAAGGGACCTAAAGGACTACCCATAGAAACGCCATCTACTTGGGAGTACATAATATTTTCAAAGCTAAACTCTATTCCTTCTGTTACTAATGTTAGGAACTCTAAGAACAAGGGCTCAGGAATAGAGGGAGGACCCAGGAAACTTCTATAGAGCATATCAGCACATATCTGTGCTGTTTCTTTGAGGGGGATATTGGTATACAGACTTACAATGTCGAAAGACACCATAATCTTGTGATCAGAAGAAATAGAACAATTTCTAATGAGTTTAGAGAAGGTGAAGGAGTCAGATACACAATAGGTTGAGAAATAATCAGAAATAGGTTTAATTAAATCTGATAACCACTTGGCCAACTCATGCTGTGCTGAACCCACCAGAGATAAAATGGGACGTAACGGCACATTATTTTTGTGAATTTTGGGCAACCCATAAAGTCTGGGTCTTTGGGAACCTACAGGTCTAATCCTGTTGTAGGTATCTTTACATATAAAATTATTTTTATGTACCTCTAATAACCGTTTCTGCAAATTTATTTCTAGTTTGTCAGTACGGTCATGTGTTGAGGAAGGACCAATCAAGCGAAACTTTGAAGTATCTCCTAGAATGACATTCATTCATTCATTCATTCCTTTTTAGATGTTCATGTGGAACGAAAGAATAATATTTTCATCACTAGTGTGTTTCGTAAAGAAACCTTTTCAGGTCTTTACACTAATTGGAACTCATTTGTCCCCCATACCAGAAAAATAAATCTGGTTAAGACCTTAGTTCATAGGGCTTTATTAATTTGTTCCTCTAGCACACTTCAACAAGAGTTGAACAAAATTCGAGACATTCTCATCAACAATGGTTTTCCAGCCAACATTGTTGACCGCACAATAAAGCGGAAAATAGAGAATTTCAATATGCCCCCAAAATTTGGCCCAGGTCTTTGCCCTATTTATCTGAAATTACCTTGGCTGGGCAGAAAATGTAAACTTTTGACTGATAAAGTTTCAAATGTTGTTTCTGCTACCTTCTTTTCGGCCAAGGTACGTGTTGTCTTTGGTACTCGTACTGTTTTTCCGTCTTTTTCCAAGGATCGTTTGCCCTATCATAATAAAAAGTTCGATTATATATAAATTTAAATGTCAGTGCGAAGCTGAATACATAGGGCGAACATGTCTTCGTTTGGAAACAAGAATCGGACAACATGTACCCAGACACATTAAATTAAATTTAGATAATCGCATTCGTGTTTCGCAATCAGCTCACGGTTCGGCGATCGGGCAACACCTATTAGAAAATGAGTCATGCTCAAAACGTTTCACAATGGACTCGTTTTCAATTATATGCGTAGGCAGGTCCAAATATCATCTGTCTATTTTGGAAGCCATCTGCCTCAAATTATTTAAACCATCGCTTTCTAAACAAAAGGAGAATTTTTCACGATCGCTAAATTTATTTTTTTTGATATATGAGCAACTTATTTTCCTTTTTACTGCTCAGGTTGGTTCATTATTATTAATTCATTATTTACGCATTTATTTTAATCGTAAATTTATTTTAATTTTACGTATATATATCTTCGTAAAATTTTAGACGTGTTCCAACCATACCATTTTGGCGTTCTTTTCATTTTCATTGTTTGTTTAAAATCATTTGCCAATGAAAGACCCTGATGAAGCGTTGGCCGAAAGGTACCTAGGTCCTGCAAAAAAAAAAAAAAAAAAGAGGGGAAAAAAAAAGTGAAGGAAAAAAAAATGGTCATACAAAAGAAATTCATTTTCTTTAAATCGTTATATTTGTTTTGTGGCATCAAAACATTATTCCAATATATATATATATATTCACTAGGCTATTATTTCATTTTCTTTTTTATTTGGTTTGGTGGTATCTTAAGTATTAATTGTATGAGGTTAGATTTATAATTACATTCTTAATTAGATTTATAATTACATTCTTAATTGTTTTTGTTTTAATTTATGTGCATATGCCTGTATTTATACGCTTGTTCATACGTACATGCGTACATGCCTGCATGTACGTATATAGGTAAGCATATGTGCACATATATGCACATATAAACGCACACGTGTATACATGTGTCTATGCTTTCTGATTAATAAACTAGTGCTTAAAGGGTATTAATTATAGTTGGTTTATGGAATTTTCTTTGTTGCTTGAATATGTATATACCCCATTTAATTCACGCACGTACTCGCACGCACATATATATAATTTTTAAATAGTATATATGCATTAAATTAAATATTTCCTTATATCATATATTATCGTTTATCTAATGTTTCATTTTATTAAATGGTTAGTAGTTTATTTGTTTGTGTCTTGATGTTATATATTGAGATGTTAATTAAGGGGAGTTGTTTGTTCGTTTTTATTAGTTTGTGTGTGCGTCTGCATATATATTTATACGTACATGCTCACACACACGGGTATGTGTGTATATTTAATATTTGCTCGTTTATTTATTTATTAATAATTATTTTAAGGATTATATTATATTTATTTCATTTATTTATTTAAAGTTTATATGTCATTTATTTTATGTAATTGTTTATTTTTAAGTTACTAAAGTAAGTATTTATTTATATCAGAATATTTACCCATAATTTCAGTCTTCTAGTTTAAGTGTTTATTTTGGTTTTAAAACTAATTGCTAATTTTTCCTTTAAGCATAGATTACAATTTTTACTGTAAATACTGCATGGGACTGCTCTTTTTTAAATTTCCCATTTGATATTTAGTGGGGATATTGTTTCCGTTTTGGTCCCATATGTATTTTGATAGGGTTATATTGTTTATGTGGTTTTTCTTTCGGGGGACATATTGTGATTATAATATCTTTCTTTCAAGGATTTTTTTTCTGTAGCGCCTATGTAATTTTTTTTTTATATCTGCGTTAATGATATTAGTTATGATGTGTTATTGGTTAAACATTTATTTAAGAATTATTTTCAGTTTCTGCAATTAAATCTTGGCTTGACGACCACAACATTAAGACGTCTTACACTTCATTTGACAGATACAGGTTCTATTGCACATCATCTAAAAACACATTACTGTCTACTTTTACAATATTGGAAAATATTGTTGACAACACCAATATACTACACCACGAAAATAATAAACAAAAATAAAACTTCAATTTCTCGAGACCCTCTGTATCAAAATCAACCAACCAACAGTCAACA